GAATTTGCTCTGTAAACTTCCACCCAAATCACGATAAAACTTAAAAAACAAAACAAACAAACAAAAAACTAGCTCACAATAGGGAGCTCTGTTGGTATAGTACCTAAGGCACGTGACTGCTAACCAGAAGGCTCGTGGTTCAAACCCATTTCCTTGGAAGGAAGACTGGGCAATCTACTTCCATAGTGATACCACCTCAGAAACCCAAGGAGGGGTCGCTATGAACTGGATTCGATTTGATGGCAGTTGAGTTTGTTTTTTTTTGGCCCACAATAAGACCAACATACCCTGGGAGCCTCTGAGTAGGTTTGAACTGCCAACCTTCTGGTTAGCTGCCAAGGGCTTAACTGATTGCATCACAACTATTACCACAATTGGAAATAAACAGGGACGCCTTCCTTCCTCCACCCACTCTCCCTGCAGACAGCAAAGCCTTTCTACTTACCATTCCGCCCACAGTGCCACCTGTGGGACAAAAGAGCAGTTGGCTGAGAGGGCCTCGCACCCCTTCTCCAGACCATGGGCCACTCCTCTGCCAGCAGCAGGTCAGGGCTTTGTATTCCCTCTCAGAGTTGGGGCTCCCTCCCTTCGCCCCCTCATCAGAAAGACACTGAGACACCCTTTATTTTGTAAGGGAAGACAACAAGGATGTCCCTCAGGGTAGTTGCCCGAGGCCAGACGGCAACATGTGCAAAGTTCAGTGGGCAGTTCAATCTCATCTCTCCTCACAAGTACAGGGCAAAAGTCATGCCCTCAGGAGCCCAAGTGTCTCAGGTCCTGGCCCACGGGAACTACTCACCGAAACTGTGGCCCATGATGGAAAAGCGATGCCACTTCAGGGCTGAAACAGAGCCAAGAGCGTCCGGATGGGCCCGACCCCCTTTTCGGCAGAAATCTCTCCCCAGACTCTGGGTCACCCCTTAGGAGACCAGCTGAGAAGAGGCCCCATGACTCTGCAGGGGACCCCCCCAGGGGAAGTACAGCTCTTCTGCTTCCCTAAAGTCCCCTCTGAATCCCTGGCAGAACCAGGACCAGGCCCAGGTGCCCTCCCCTGTCCCAGTCCAAGGATGCACGTCCCGCCCCACAGCCTCCCTCCGCACACACCCTGACTCACCTGCCGCCACTCTCCGGATCTCGTTCACAAAATCTTGATAGTGATATTGGACACCTGGGCTGTAATGGGATGAAAGCCCGTGGCCCCCGAAATCCATGGCGATGTAATACAAGTCTGAGACAGAGAAACAGGGGGCAGGTAGGCAGGGGTGTCCACACCCGTGGTCTTGGGCCCTCCTTGCTAAGCTGCTGCCCTGTCTGCCTCCTCGCCCCTCAGCTCCCTGCAGCCCCAGCCCACCCTGCGGAAGAAGAGGGATGAGTCTGTCAAAGGAGTTGGCATTGTCCAGCCAGCCGTGCAGGCAGAGAACAGGGTGGCCCTTCAAGGAGCCCCAGGTTTTGGCAGCGATGTGGCCCCAGGGCACAGGCAGCTTCAGCTCGGACAGCAGACCTGAAAGACAAAGCCAGTCACTCACTCTATGCACGGGACAGGCAGGGACAGAACCCCAGGGCACAGGCAGGTGAACCAGTGCAGAGCCTGAGGAAGTGCGTAGGCCCGTGTCACAGAAGGCATCAAATCTGAACGCAGCCAGGATGTTCTAGAATGGGCTGCTCAACCAGCTGGACCTGCACCCTGCCACTTGCTGGCTTGACGCTGGGCGAGTTAGTAACCACCACTCTCTGATTCCTATTCTGCAAATGTGGCCTACAGTGCAGCGACAAGGGCCAGCATCTTTGAAGCCTGCATTCAACTGAGCGCTTCCTGGCAGCCAGCTCCTACATCCTCGCTACATCCTCGCTACTGCTCTCATTTCAGACTGAGGCAGTGGGACACCAAGACCACACAGGGAGAACAAGGTGGAACGGAGACCGAAGCAGGTGGCACGCCCCAGGTCCTAATCCCCACATCAGTCTATCGCGGCAGACGTGACCTGACCCTGCAGCGACCTTATTACCCTGCTGCCCCACCCCCCGCGCCAGCCCGGCGCGCTCTGCTCCTTCACGGACACCCGCGCGCGCGCGCGACGACTCTACTCTGGGGGCTCTCGGAACCCTGACGGTCATGTGTAACTGTGTTTGGGCACCCCCAGCCCTCCGGGCCGCTCAGCTCGCTGTTCCTGGGACGTCTGAGGAAGCAATGGCGACCTCAGGAGGGGCGGCTTGCTCCACGCATCCTTCCCTCCTCCTCCTCCTCCGCGGTCGCAGAGGGCCCCAAGGCCCCCCCCCCATCCCACCCCGGGCCAGGGTCCCCGAGAGGGGCATCTTCACCCATCGTTCTGGTCCCGCGGACGCGTGGCCGTCACTCGAGCGCTGCGAAGCCGTACCCAAGGAGAGCGACGCCGGGAGTTTCGGAAGCAGCCCTCCTGCAGCTCAAGGCTTTGCCCGCTGGCCCCGCCCCGGTCCGCAGGCCCCGCCCATCGCGGCCGCGGCCCCGCCCCTCTCCCTCAGCTCGCTACGGGTCTCGGGCTGGAACCCTAGGGCCGTCGGACGTGCGCCTAGTCGCTGGGCCCGTGGGGTCCCGCGCGCGCAGAGACACCGCCCACACCCGGAGGCGGCCCCACGTGGGAGGCCAGCTTGCGACCGCCCGGCAGGGCCAGTGGGCAGAGAGGTAGGGAGCCCTGGGGTCACCTCTGCAGGGGCCAAATGACCTGTAAGATTCGGGGCTCCGCGTGGGGCACCGTCGGAGGCCTCGTGGAGTAGGCGCTGCTAGACACGTAGGTGGCAGGGCGTGGGCAGAAGGTGAGACAGAATGGAACGCGCGAAACGTTGCCCATCGCGCTGTCTCTGGTATGCTTGAGTTCCTACTTGAGTGCAGCTCGTGGACGACTGCCCTCGCTTTCGGAGACGCTCTACTTTACCAGACAGGCCGCCCTGGTCAGCGCTTGGTGTTTCCTGGTGAAGTGTCCACAGTGAGTGAGCTGGAGTCTGGAAGTCTCGCCATCCTGAGTCCAAGGGGCGTGCCCTTAGACTGAGTTGTACCTTTTGGCAAAACAAACTCACTGCCATCAAGTGCATTGACTCAGAGCGACCCCCTCCTGGGTTTCCCAGGCGGTATCTCTACCCAGTCTAATTTGCTAGGAGTGGCTGGTGGGTTTGAACCGCCTTCCTTCCGGTTAGCAGTCAAATGCCTGAGGCACTACGCCACCAGGTAGGTTCAGTATTCTTTGCCGAGACCAAAAGGCATCAACTCTTCTTTCTTTTTCATTATGCAACTTTTGCATGACTATGAGGCAATTGAAAAGACAGGGGACTGGGTCAGGTGACTCCTAGTGATCAAAGTGACATTTTTGTTTCTAAGACTTCAAAGAGGTCTTTAGGAGCTCTGGTGGAAGGAAGGTGGGACAATCTACTTCTGTAGTGATACTGCCTCAGAAACTCAAGGAGGGGTCACTATGAGTCGGATCCGACTTGATGGCAGTGAGTTTGGGTTTTTTTGGTTTGCAGATTTGCCCACTGCAATATGTGGTTTGGTTTCTTTCTTTTTTTTTTTTTTTTTTTTTTTTTTTTAAACAACGTGAACAATCTTTATTGAAGACATCGGGACACGAGAGGAGGAGGATGGTTAGCTCCTGCGTCCAAGACGGTGTTCAGAGTCAGAGTCCAAGTCGTAGCCCTCTGAAAGCCGTGGTTTGGTTTCTTGACTGCTGCTTGTTGACTGTGAATCAACAAGTAGAATAAAATACTTGACAACTGCATTTTTTTTCTCCATTTATCATGTTGTTTACTGGTCCACATATTTTTATATATTATGAAACCCACTGCTGTCAAGTCAAAATCGACTTAGAGACCCTCGAGGACAGAGAGGAACTGCTTCATAGGGTTTCCAAGGTTGTAAACCTATAACAGAAGCAGATTGTCTCCTGTGGGGCTGCTGGTAGGTTCAAACTGTCCACCTTTTGGTTAGCAACTGAAAACCTTACTTGCACCACTGGAGCTCCCTGTATGTACGTCTGTATATATATAACATATTTGTAAGTTATATATACATTTATATTATATGTTGTATGTTGTTGTTGTTATATGCCGTCGAGTCGGCCCCGACTCATAGCGACCCCTCCTTGGGTTTCCGAGGCGGTATCACTACGGAAGTGTATTGCCCACCCTTCCTTCCCAGGAGTGGCTGGTAGGTTTGAACCGCCAGCCTTCTGGTTAGCAGTCAAGTGCCTTAGGCACTATGCTACCAGAGTGCCTATGTTGTATGTATATTTCATATATATATTCCACGCTTTGCCTTATATATTTAAGGACCGTTTGTATTTATTTTTCTGTGAACTGATTATGCCCTTTCTCTATTTTTTCCCTAATTCTTTGTGATTTCTGGGAACTCTTAAATAGTAACATTAGTTCTATGTGACACGAGGTGCATATTTTCCCCCAGCTTGTCATATGTTCTTTGAATTTATGTTTTTTTTATTTTGTCATGCAGAAGTTTTTTTGTCTTTGTTTTTGCTTTGAATGTCATCCAATCCATGAGTCCGTCTTTTCTCACTTTGTTCTAGGTTTTGAGTCATCCCCATAAAGGCCTTTGCCGTTAAGCTTTGGGGTAGGTTGTTATACGACAAGATTATTGCTGGAACAGTGATGGGACAGAGAAAGAGTTTAGGAAATTACTTGTTAAATGAATTAATTTTAAAAAGAATGAATGATACAAAACCTGTTGTTGTTGTTGTTATGTGCCATCAAGTCGGCCCCAACTCACAGCAATCCCTCCTGGGGTTTCTGAGGTGGTATCACTACAGAAGTAGATTGCCCAACCTTCCCTCCGAGGAGTGGCTGGTGGATTTGAACCGCCAGCCTTCTGGTTAGCAGTCAAGTGCCTTAGGCACTATGCCACCAGAGCTGCTATACAAAATGTAGGAATACTAATTTACCTCAATCTTTTTTTTTTTTTTTTTTTTTTCATTCCTTCCAGTTCCCAGGAAGTGCTGTGGGATGTTTCCAGGCTGGGCACTAACTGCATGTACACTTTATTCTCCTTCAGACCATCTGAGTCTGTTCCTGTTGGGGGAAGTTGCTGAAATCTCTTTTTCAGTCCCTTTATGGTTTAGTTTTTGGATTGAATTGTGTCTCACCAAAAGTAGGTGTCAACTTGGCTGGGCCATGACTCTCAGTATTGTGTCATTTTTCTCCACTTAGCAATCCTACGCACTTACCCTGTGTGTGGTGAATCCTAACTTTTAAGGCGTCAGTGAGCAGGAGTAGACGTAGTTACGTAAATGAGGCAGAAGGCAATACAGGATCAGGTTGCATTTGAGTCAATCTGTTTTGAAATATAAAAGAGATTAAACAATGGAGCAGAGATGAGAGGGACCTCTACCACCAGGAAAGAAGAGCCAGGGTCAGAGTGCAGTCTTTGGACCTGAAGTCCCTCTGCTCAGAAACTCCCAGACCCAGGGGATGGCAAGGACCTTTCCTCAGTGGCAACAGAGAGAGCAAGACTTCTTCTGGCTAGCACCCTGAATTTGGAGTCTCACCTCCTAAGCAGTGAGACAGTACGTTTCTGTTTGTTACAGCCAGCTACTTACAGTATTTCTGTAATAGAAGCACTACATAACTAAAGTTGTTAGCTTCATCCAGAGAAAACCGTGAGGCTAGTCACTGTTCACTAAGTGTGTTACTGGTCACAGGAGCCCAAGGCAATGGCTCAGGCTCAGGACAGCTCTCTGTCCCTCACACCTATGCAGATTCAGGAATGTTGACAATGAGTTAGGGACACAAGGTACAGCCAGCATTCTGAGCCAGTGACCAACATGGCCATGGCCCAGCCTGATGGGACCGAGGGGCTGGTGCCAACCGTCTGAGCCAGACGCTCTGGGCAGCTCAAGGAGACAGAGGAAGAAGTGAATGCCTGGAGGTTGGGAGGAGAGAGAAAGGCTGTGTCACTGTGCTGTTCCTGGTCCCAGGTGGCGTCAGAGTGAGTGGCACACTCCAGTACAGCTTGGCAACTCTCCGGAGCTAATATAAAGCCCATTGCTGACGGCCCTGTCCTGGGGCTGTCCCATCTGTGACCCTCCACCATGCCCAGTCTGAAGAGCAAAGCTATGCTCAGCTGTTCCTCAGGCCAGCTTGAGTGCTACCCTGTCCCTGTCCTACTGGGCCCTGCCAGGCCAGCCGATCCCTCCTTCTCCCTTCATACCCGGTGGCAGGACCCACCCATTTCTTCAGAGCCCTAACGGCCTGATGAGGTAGAAAGAAGAGACACAGTTTGTGAGGCTTTGTAATTCTAAACAAACCAAAACCCAGTAAGTATCAAGTCCGTTTTAAAAATACCCATAGCCTCTCTTTTAGTTCTTTTATACAGAGGCACTGGGTTTGCACTTCACTTCAGTGAGTCCTTTAAGTCACGGAGTTCACTTGGTCGAAAAGAAAAATCTGACCAAGGAGTTAATGAGAGTTCACATTTATTGAATGGGGAGCCCTGGTAGCAAAATGTTTAGACAATTGGCTGCAAGACCAGAGGTTGGCGGTTTGAACCCCGTCAGCAACTCCACGGGAGAAAGACTTAGAGAACTGTTTACATAAAGATTAAAGAGCTCTGGTGGCGTAGTGAGTAAGACATTTGGCTGCTAACCAGAAGGCCAGTGGTTCAAACCCACCAGCTGCTCCATGGGAAGAAGATGAGGCAATCTACTTCTGTAAAAATTTACAACCTTGGAGACCCAGTGGAGCGGTTCAACTCTTGTCACATAGGATCACCATGAGTCAAAATTGACTTGACGTCATCTAACAACAACATTGAGCAAGAAACTGTTGTAGGAAACCAAGGTCCTTACTCCCTGTTGCAATGAGCCAATGATCACAAAAGGTTGAAGAGGGAAACCAAAGGGTTATCGAGTGTTAAGAGCCAAGGAGACAGAGAGAATCCATTCTCTGAAATACCTGTCTCTCTGAGCAAAGGGGTCAACATGATGATACCGGGAGGTGGGAAGGGGGTGAAGATCCCAGGGACACCCAGGAACGGCTTTGTTCTCTTCCTGGTTGCTCCAGACTCAGTGTCCCTCTTCCCAGGGTTGTCTTGCTTCATAGGCTACGGTTCTCAGCCAAAACCAGTCTAAAGAACTAGTGTTTGTAAAGAGCTGGGCTATTCTGCTTACTTAAAAGAAAGCAAAAGGGGTGTGTGTATGTGGAAATAGCAAGTTAGTCACTATGATTAATGTGGACTTTAATCACGCCTGCTAGTCCGTTCAAGTTCTGCAGTTTTCAGGAGGGGCCTCTTCCGCCTTCCACAAAACTGTGAACAGAGAGAACCCCAAAGTGAAAACGGTGATGGGCTCAAGTTCACAGTTACAATCCCTTTTAGAACTTAGATGAGTACATTTCTTGCCCTTTGATTGCTTAATCACATTGAAATGTTCCTTTGGTTTTGGGAAAGTTGGTCACCGACCAGGCTCTCGGGTGGTGCGAGCGGTTCTCCATTGACTGCTAAATGAAAGGTTGCCGGTTGGAACCCACCCACTAGCACCACAGAAGAAAGACCTGGTGATAAAAGACCACAGCCAAGAAAACCATGTGGAGCACAGTTCTATTTGGTAGCACGTGGGGTCGTCGGGAGTCATTAGAGTATGGGGTGAAGAGCACAGAGACAACTGTAGTTTTGTTTTCTGGTCATTGAATTCTAAGTTGGCTTATCTTTGCCTAATCATGGTTAACTCAGGCTGCTAAGTAATACTTGGTTAATTTTTGATTCTGTTTCTTGTCAAATGGGCTTATGTCTAATTTGTGTCTGGCTCTTGCCCAGGGAAGATATTTTAACTCATGCCTTTAATCAACACCA